TATTCTATTATATCCAATACAACGACTATTCATAGTTTATTATATCTCTTAGATTGCTTAATTACATTTTATTCTGTCTTATTCATTACAACGAATACTCACAGTTTATTCTCCTTATTACATAATCATTAATAGTTTAATTTTATGCTTATTACATCATTATTGATTATTTGATTTTATTCTACTTATTACATCATAGTTGGTGATATTGTTTTTCTTATTACATCACTGTTGACGTTATTGTTTTATTATTATTGTGACATCATCATTCATATTATTGTCTTATTATTCTTAATACATAATTCTTGGTAATATTATTATTATTACATTATCGTTGATGTTATTTTTTAATTTTCTTGTTAAATCATTTATGATTATATTGTTTTTCCCTCTTATAACATCATTGTTGATTATTTTGTTTTATTCTTCTTGTTACATCATTCTTGAAGTTATTGTTTTATTCTTATTACGTCATTGTTGACGTTACTGTTTTACTCTTATTACATCATTGGTTACGTTATTATTTAATTTTCTTATTACATCACTGTTGACGTTATTGTTTTATTTTTCTTATTACAACATTGGTGGCGATATTGTTTTATTCTTATTATTAAATCATTTTTGACTTTATTGCTTTATTCTTCGTGTTACATCGTTTTATTCTTCTTGCTACATTATTGTTTTATTTTTATTGTTGCATCATTGTTGACGTTATCGTTTTATTCATCGTTGATAGTTTTATTTGCCACATATTACATTATTTTACTTTTTTCAGTTCACAAGGAGTTGAACCAAGTGATCGTTCCAGAGTTTGATGGTGAAGCTTTTCTTGTATTGCCGACTTTACCAAACGTTGGACTGTCATTTACAATTGAAGTGTGGTTCTTGGCTAATGAACCAAATGGAATGCTGCTGTATAACGGCCAGGAGAGACCGTCAGGGGGTGACTTTATATCTTTAAATCTAGTTGATGGATTTGTTCAACTTAAGTTTGATCTTGGAAGTGGAGCTGCCACAGTGTCGTAAGTAGGAAAGTCTATTTCTCTGTATTTTAAAACTGAAGTAATTAATTTTTCATTATCTACATAACATCTTCTAATTTATGTATGGTTGTCTTTTTTTTATGCTGCAGCGGAAGAGTAAACATCACGTAAGTAACTCCTTGATGTAATGACGATATATGAACTTGTTGATAGTATGATAGAGAGGTAAAGATTAGAACTAGGAATCACATATATTAGGTTAAAGTTTCAACAACTACTCCTTCTATTACTTTCTCAACGTAGTGCACGTGCATAATAGTATATAACACGAATTCAACTCTAAAGTGAAATATATATAATATCTTATATTTTATCTTAAAATGTTGGAGAGTGGTTTAGAATTATTGGTATTTTAATTTTAGGTTCAGTTCATGAATCTGGTAATTATATGTATTTTTTATTGCTGTAAGCTAAAGAGAATACATCTTCATTTCATTGAATTAAAATTGAAATTTAAGATATTATTAGCTAATGGCCACTGTATGTGATGTTTTGGGTATCCTTTTCTTCAATTACCAATAAAACTAGTCAGAATTAGCGCATATTTCATTTGAAATTATTAGCGAAATGGTAGGTAAGTTTACTGACTTCTCTACCGTAGTTCACCTTATCCAGTCGCTTTAGGAGAGTGGCACTCTGTGAAAGTGACCAGACAGCGAAGACGGGGATCAATCCAAGTGGATGGTGGACTGGAAGTGCAAGGAGAATCAAAAGTAAGGAAATCTTCATATTGATCGGATTTATATACAGTAATAGAAAAACTGTATACAAAATTTAGCGGAAAATTGAGCACAGTGATGCTGATGGCCAAGTTTAAAATTCATGTATAAATACTGATGGCCAAGTTTAGAATTCGAATATAGATACTGTTGGGCAAGTTTAGAATTCATCTATAGAAAGTGATGGTAAAGTTTAAAATTCGTGTATAGATACTGAAGGCCAAGTTTAGAATTCATGTATAAAACTGATGGCCAAATTTAGAGTTATTGAATAAATGCTAATGACTGAATTTAGAATTCATGTATAGAAACTGATCGCCAGGTTTAGAATTCGTGTATAGATAATGATGGCCAAGTTTAGAATTCATGTATATATACTGATGGTCATGTTTAGAATTCGTGTATAAATACTGATGGCCAAGTTTAGAATTCATGCATAAATACTGATGCCCACTTTGGATGTCAGTACGCTAATGAAACCAACAGCTGCTTGTCAGACTTCCATACTGTAGTATTTTTGTAGTATTTTACAGACAATATGTTCTGCATATCCACATTCTTCAGGAATATAATTCCTAGTGGACTAATGCTGATCTTAAACTAACTTAAAATGCACAATTATAACCAATAACTTCTTAACAATTGTTTGATTTTCTGTTTTAGAAATTATGCGCAGAGCTACACAAAGGCTGTCTGCGAATAGCCGTCCCTAATTTTGAACTGTTCGACTAGACGAAAGGCAGTTAGTCAACAGCACCATCCGCAAACTCTTAGACTGTCTTATGTGATTGAATAGTGGAATATGACCGTAACTCTTATAGAACGAAGCGCATTTTGAGGTCAAATGATTGTGAACCATCAGTTAATAAAGTGAAACAAAATAAAGGGGTAGGCCTATATTTTGTATATTTTTATTTCACTCTTCTTTTTCTCTCTCTCTTTCTCTGTAAAGACTTGCTCCAATCCAATCAACTACAGTTATTTGGGTTTAAATCACGGGGTGCCCGAGAATTAGTCAATTCTTCTTCGCCCCTCTTACAGTATTATGTTAAGGCTAAGTTTGTTTGTTTGAAGTTAAGCACAAAGCAACACAAAGGGCTATCTGTGCTCTGCCCACCACGGGTATCGAAACCCGGTTTCTAGCGTTGTAATTCCACATACGTACCGCTGTGCCACTGAAGGTCTGTTGGCTAAGTGGAGGAGAAAGAAAAAACCCTCAATCTATTCGGAATCCGTCCCAAATGTGGCCGGAAAAAACTGCCTATTTTTAATGTTTCTGCTTTTCTCGAAGTATACTGTGATCACAATTAATAGTTTTGGTGAAGAAAAAGGGGCAGAGAGATAAAAGGCAGATACTTTTCTAGGCGCTGGCACACGGGGCCCGTGCCCCGATTCTGTTTGACAATTCCCCGAATCCCAGTTGGTGTCTTGAAAAATCAGAATTGAAAACCATGACCGATACTATACTGAAACGCCGACAATTCGCGCGCCCATGGACCTGAGCCCGAACCTAGCAACGCCTCCGATAGAGAAAATAAAAACTAAGTAAACGGTCCCAAGTCAGAGCGGCAAGGATCTATAAATCCATTGCCTGGACTGAGATCTGTAGATCCAATGCTATAGATTAAGATGTGGGATGAAATGGTAGTATACCGAGAAAACTGGTCGGGCGACAAAAACACTAACCGGCCATTTCCCAGTATATTACCTGGAAGAGAAGTTTAATGTGAAGAGATGAACGCTAAAAAGATACAAGACAAAAAGAGAATAAGTAAACTTTTTAGTTGGATTTAGAACTTTAAGAAACATTTAAGGCTATATGCAGTATTTCCTCACTTTCTGTCAAATCGTGGTATCTTTCTCCACCAAGATTATCTGTAGTATTACCTTACTTTTTGAGAAAGATATCACGGTTTGACAGAAAGTAACAAAATACTACAGGTAGTCTTGGTGGAGAAATATACTACGGTTTGACAGAAAGTACAAAATACTACAGATAGTCGTGATGGAGAAAGACACCACGGTTTGACAGAAAGTAAGTAAATACTAGAGATAGTCATGGTAAGAAAGTAAGGAAATACTACAGATAGTCTTGGTGGAGAAAGATACCACGGTTTGACAGAAAGTAAGTATATACTACAGATAGTCTTCATGGAGAAAGATACCACGGTTTGACAAAAAATAAGGAAATACTACAGGTAGTCTTCATGGAGAAAGATACCACGGTTTGACAGAAAGTAAGGAAATACTACAGATAGTCTTGGTGGAGAAAGATATCACAGTTTGACAGAAAGTAAGGAAATACTAAATGTAGTTTTGTTGGAGAAAGATTCAACACTTTGACGAGAAAGATATCACGGTTTGACATGAAGACTACCTGTAGTATTTCCTTACTTTCTGTCAAAGCATTGAATCTTTCTCCACCAAGACTACCTGTTAAGACTATTTCGTTATTTACCCTATCTTCATATCGAATATCATTTTTTATCAATCTTCTCTTTCTTTATATTTTCTTTCATTTTCACAGTTTCCTGCAACATCTTACAGAATTCATATTTTTTAGATTTTCTTCTAACACAGTAACTATTTTTAACTCATCATTTCAGGTAACAGTCACTAGTTATGTAACTTTCCGGTGGAAATGAATGTATCAAAACCATTTTTGACGTTGATCGTCGTTACGCAGGTATTCTGTTGCCACAGAAAATTTGGTCACTTTTAGGAAGGACATGTAACAACCCTTTCCTTTGCAAAATATTCATATACTCGTATCTTAAAGGTTTGTTCAGATCGGGAATTTTGAACTTGTACCTAACGGCTTTGAAAACAAAAGAACATGGATCATCTTGGGGCACCAGGACCATGCTGCAAGAAGTGGTACACAAGCTACGGTAAGGAAAATGTAATACCTTCTAACACATGAGGACCTACGAACAGGAAATAATAACGTGGTGAGGCACCAAAATCGTTTTAATGTAACATATTCAACCTCTATATAGCTCTCTATATCTTCTCAATATGCAATTTTTCTGGGAATTGAGATTAAAGTTTATGAAAGCTTTCTTAAATTGGAATATTTAGAGGCGTCCTAATGTATGAATTAACAGAAATAAAAACAAACAATACGTATTTAAAGAGGCAAGCTTAAATAGCAAATTAAAAAGAAAAACAATTACACAAAAAATCTTAATTTTTTTCATTTAACATACCTATAAGAAACTTCTACTTCCCTTTTATTTCTATTTTAACTTTTTATTTTACTGATAGCTACATTACACTATATTTCTTTTTGTGATAACGTGACATCTCGTCAGCTTGTCAAAATTTCTTATTTTGCAACAGCCTCTGTAAAATTAGCTATTTTCTCTTTCTTTTATTTTGGTTCATCAAGGGTTGAAAACGTCTTGAAACTTGTCATTGAATTTATATTGCCACTTTAGACTGTTCTGTCTCCACAGATTTTACTTAGACAAAAAAATCTGTTCATCAAAATGGTAATCTATTTCCAAATCATTTCTGGTGGATGAAAGGAGCAAAAAGAGTTAAGAGTTTTGGTTTTTTTAACATTATTGTTTCTTTCTTTTAATTTTTATAGAAAAGTAGGAACATATTTCATTTTCTAGTTATACTACTCACATTCACCTCAATAAAAAATATATAACTGACAAAATTATGAAACATAAAACTAGTCAATTAAAAATATAAAACATCTGACCTATCTTGATTTTCTCTAGCTAGACAGATAGTCTAAAACTTTATATTATATCAATATTAGTGTAATTAACTTAAGTTGTTTTTAACTGTGCAAGTTTTATTGAACCAGGCGTGGCCTATTGATTAGTGTGACCTGGGAGTTCATGGCTCGTATTCCGTTGCGTCAGAAATGCGATCTACACTTTAGGACTGTGGATGTGTTATAAAATGAGCCTAGAGAAGAGTATCTAGAGGTTGAATGTTTATTGACTTGCTGCTTTCCCTCTTGCTTATGAGTTCAAAAATAAGGGACCGCTATCGCATATGAAGGCCTTGTGTAACTTTATCCGAAACAAGCAAGAGATTGTATTAACTATGAAGATGATGAATATATTTTTCTTGTATTTATTTTCTAAATACTAACCTGTGTAAGTAGTTCGATGTTATAAAAATACGATATTTTTCAGAACCTGGTTGATCTATTTTTATGAAATGAGGTTAAAGATCAAAATGTGATGTTTTTGTTATTCCAGGCACCATTAAGTGAATTGAATGTTGACCAGCCTTTGTATGTGGGTGGGTTTAGAAATCTGTCTTCCCTCAATAAACATTCTGGCATCTTTACGAGATTCAACGGCGCTATCCAGCGAATCATGGTGAATGGGGAAATATGGGATAATCTGTTGGATAAGGCACTAGATTCAATTGGAGTGAGTACATACACTGGAGCACCATGTACAGAAGGGATATGCTTGAATGGGGGAATCTGTATACCCAAGCTAAGCGAATTCACGTGCCGATGTCCCATGAAATTTATTGGTCTTCAGTGTGAAAAGAGTAAGTTGAATCAACGTTAATATCTGACTTCCGTTACATGATAAATATCGTTTAAAGTTAACAAAGTTGTATCAACGTTAATATCTGGCTTCCTTTACATAATAAATATCGTTTAAAGTTAACAAAGTTGAATCAACGTTAATATCTGGCTTCTATTACATGATAAATATCGTTTAAAGTTAACAAAGTTGAATCAACGTTAATATCTGGCTTCCATTACATGATAAATATCGTTTAAATTTAACAAAGTTGAATCAACGTTAATATCTGGCTTCCGTTACATGATAAATATCGTTTAAAGTTAACAAAATTGAATCAACGTTAATATCTGGCTTCCATTACATGATAAATATCGTTTAAAGTTAACAAAGTTGAATCAACGTTAATATCTGGCTTCCGTTGCATGATAATTATCGTTTAAAGTTAACAGAGTTGTATCAACGTTAATATCTAGCTTCCATTACAGAATAAATATCGTTTAAAGTTAAGAAGTCTGTTTGAAGGGAAAAGGATTTCATCAGCGTGAATAACTTACTTTTGAACTGAAATAATGTGATGTCAGTGACACAACAGCTTCGGACATTATTGTTAGTAGTATGAATTATGATTTTATAGTCACAAAGTGCCATGTTCTTACATTATTTGTCATGTACAGTTTGTGACCTTACGATCATGTAACTGACATATTCATACAGTGCATGTCTTATATAAATTATCATTTTTGTGATCAGTTGGTCACATATTTCCGTTCAATGATAATTATATAGTTAAAGGTATTATAATCATTATCTGATATATCCGTAGAATAATGATCCAAAGTAGTCTAAACAGTTTTTCTAAAGACATCTTGATAATGTCAAGTTTCAAAGAGAGCTGTTTGTTTTGTTCTAGGTATGGTGAAAGAAGACAAAGATAGACCAGTATCTTTTAATGGAAAAACGTATTTCAGCTTTCCTAACAAAATATCTAGAAGGTTTGTTTTTATTTCGTATCACCAGTTTTCCTAACAGAATACCTAGAAGGTTTGTTTATATTTCGTATCACCAGTTTTCCTAACAGAATACCTGGTAGGTTTGTTTTATTTCGTATCACCAGTTTTCCTAACAGAATACCTGGTAGGTTTGTTTTTATTTCGTATCACCAGTTTTCCTAACAGAATACCTAGTAGGTTTGTTTTTATTTCGTATCACCAGTTTTCCTAACAGAATACCTAGTAGGTTTGTTTTATTTCGTATCACCAGTTTTCCAAACAGAATACATAGTAGGTTTGTTTATGTTTCGTATCACCAGTTTTCCTAACAGAATACATAGTAGGTTTGTTTATGTTTCGTATCACCAGTTTTCCAAACAGAATACCTAGTAGGTTTGTTTATGTTTCGTATCACCAGTTTTCCTATCATAATGTTACGACAGCGAAAGTCACGTGACGCTGGTAACACGTCATGAGATCCTCGAAGGATCTTGACTTTTCCTGGCAACTCTAGTCTGTTCTAGGTGCCCTCTTTTTTAGTATATAAGCCCGGCAAATAAAGCGAAGATATAAGTGCAGATAGATAGATATAGAGACAGATAATTGAGTCAAGCGAGCGGTAGTGA